CGAGGCTGAGCCCGGGGCTGGCCGGCTCGCTGGTCCTGCAGCGGCTTGTGCGGCCGCGAGCTGCTGCTTGGCCGGCGGGAGGGACTGGAGGCACAGTGCCCTGCCTCGGCCGTTGTCATTTCTCGGAAAGCTTCCGAGAAAGTAGTTGTGGGGAGGTCAGTGATATTTGTATGCATGAACCTCGAAACCGACATCCAGGCACGCAGTTGTGATTGTACGTTGTCAGACTCTTCTCGACCCCCGAGGCGTCTAGTTGATGGCCCAAAGCAGCCCAGAGCCCATTTGATAGATGGGAAATGGAGGTTCTGAGAGGCGCGGTAGTTTGCTTTCAGTTGAGCTAGGAAGAGGTTCCGGGAGTAAGATAAGCCCCCGGTCTTAGTTGCTGAACTGTACTGCTGCCCAGTGAATAAAATCAGCGTACTTAGAGTCTAAGCAGTAGAAATTTGGAAAGAAAACAGTTGAATGTCTTTCAGAATATGATTTGGTAACCACTGATATAAATATTCATGTGGACACTGATAAACAGGCATGCAACAGGCAGGCCTCTGTCCACAAGATCAGACTTCACATGAATCACTGGACTCTTTCAGGAAAATACACATGACATAACATTGCATACAGTTTCAGGAGGCTTAAAGATATTATTCCAGGTTAAGGGTTAAAATGATGGCATAACTCTTGAGGTATAGGGGTGCCCTACACAGAATTAGGAAGCACTTTATTATATTTTTCCTGCATTCCCTAGCTCTCCATATGCTTTATGTTCACAAGAAACTGAAGGAAAACTTGCTTGGTAACCAGTTACCTCTCATTTTGGGGGCCTTTACCCTTGGTAAATCACTTTCACATCTTGCTCTTAAGCTGGCCCTAAGTGTGAGAGGTAGAATTCATTACCCTGGAGAAGGCAACTGAGGCATGGTTTACATGCTAGCCTTCCGAATTCCAGCTTCATTAATTTTCATTTCTCTGCTGAGTGTGAGGCTCTGCTGTGTTTACACAAAGTAATTAGGGCCGAATCCTTGTCACAATGGGGAAAAACTCCAGTCCATCTGGGTTCCGAAGAGAGAATCTGAAAATGCAGCTTCGGTTATGACCTTCGTATGAAAAGGCTTTGCTTTCCTTTAGGGGCCTGTTAAAAGTCTGGGGCCAGGGCTATATAGCTCAGTGGCACAGCACCTGCCTGGCAAGCACAAGGTCGTGAGTTTGATTCCTGGGCCAAAACCAAAAATAAATCATTGATTCATAACTGTACTTAACATCCTGGGAAAAGTTTGAGGAAATGATTTAACAATAAGCACAAAAAAAGCAATGAAGTGTCTAGTAAAGATTGCAACCCTTTTTAATCATATGTTCCAAGAAGTCTTCTTGTCTTTTGTCAAAGCAAATTGATGCCTGTGTCTCTGTGGATATGTGCTCTTTATGAATTTTTGTTACCGTGGTGTGCTGCTATAGCGCTTCCTGGTTATTCCATTAGGGTTGTGCACATCACTGGTTTATGTACTAAAAACATGGCATGACTTTCTCTGAAGGAGTGTAGTTGTTTTCTTTATTCATCTTTTTAGAGCAGAGGTAGTGACACTCAGAACTCATCTGCAATGGCAAATACCCTTGAAAATATGACAGACCTCAGTGAGCTCAGGTCCTGGTAGGCTGACTATATTCTGTTCCCCTTTTATTCCTCGCTAAAGGGCATGTAGCAGATTATAATCCCTGACAATGATGCAGTTGTATGGCAGTGGTGGCAGACCTTGGCACGTGTGCTCAAATTGGCTGTTATCAGTGAGAAAGCTCTAAAAGGGTCGCCATCACTGCTATATGGAATAAACTTGAACTCATTCAGCTATAATAAGAATAAATTAGTAGGCTGGAGAGATGGCTCAGTGGTCTAAAGCACCTACTCGGAACAAGCTTGGCAAAGTACAGGGACTGCGGTTCAATCCCCCAGCACCACATGCCAGCGAGCCGCGCCCCCTGGTGGGCTGAGCTGGCCACACACACACAATGAATAAATAAATAAATAAATAAAAAAGAATAAATTAGTATGACTTGGAAACTTTCTTACAAAAATGATATGTAAGAGTTAATGACATTGTTCATTTTGTCAGTGTTTAAATCAAGAACTGCATTTGTGTCACTTACTTTTTAAACGTTTTTTCTTTAGAACATGCCAGGAATGACAAAATTTATTATATATTTGAAGCACTAATATTTTGTATTTAACAGTTTTAAAGGACACCTTGGAAAAGAAGGGGGTCCTAGGGCATTTAAAAGCAAGGATCCGAGCTGAAGTATTCAATGCCCTGGATGATGATTGTGAACCTCGACCATCATTGTCTCATGAAAACCTCTTAATTAATGAGTTAATTCGGGAGTATTTAGAATTCAACAAATACAAGTACACAGCATCTGTTCTTATAGCAGGTAAGTGATCATTGTTTATCACTTGAGACAAAATCTGCTTCCCCTCCCTATCAGTTCACAGTGTGCAGCTTAGAAATCTAATTTCACTGCCAAATAGTGCCATCTGCATGACTGAAACATAAAATCACATGGGTTCTTTTTGTAGAGCAAGTTCTCATGAGGCTTTTACTGTTGGGAAAATAACAGCTAGACTTTCCCTTCCACATAGTTTAGTATTAAGCATACATCTTAATTTCATAGCAACTGTTGCTTTTTATTGGCCTAAGGATCTTTTGTCCATACTTCTACTTTCTTCTGTGATAGATAGCTGAGTAGTGCCGTTCACACTCAGAAAGGAAACAATGAAAAAAAAAAAACAGTGTTTAAAAATATTAATTAGTTGTCTTGAACTTGGTTTTCTCTAGAATAAAATATGACAATAGTCATTTTATATTGAATAATCAGCTTTTTAAAAAAGTGCATCTCACGTATAAAATTTACTGTTTTTACTATATAATTGTATGCCTTTAGTCAGTGGCATCCAATTGTATATCACAGTCACTGTCATGATATAATGGTATAGTACATTTCTGTCACCTCAAAAGGTTCTCTGACCTTTTGTGAGAATCACTCTTCACCTCCCCCATAGCACGTTACTGACTTGCTGTTCTCCTCTTATCCTTGGCCTTTTCCAGGATGTCACATAATTGGGACCACAAGGGTGTGTGTTATCTTTTGAGTGTGCTTCCTTTGTTTTAGCATGATGCACTTGAGATTCAGTGAGATTTACTTTCTTCTGCGAATATCATTATTTACAAGAAAAATAGTATGGTTGTGCTTTACTATCAATTGATGAGACATTTGAATTCTTTCTAGATTTTAGCAATTATGAATCAAGTCATCAAAATATTTATTGTTTTAGTTTGCTTTTTTTGAGACAGGGTCTTGCTTTAGAGTTCAGGCAGACCTTGAACTCACTGTGTAGCCCAGGTTGGCCTCAAATTCACAGTGATCATTCTGCCTCACCCTCCTAAGTACTGGGATTGCGTACTGTACCACCATGCCCAGTTGCTGTGTATGTTTGTATACAAGTCTGTCTGCCTGCCTGCCTGCCT